TGTATAGGACACAACAGATTTTGACATTAAATTTTGGGGTAAAAAACTGCGTCTTATACACAGAAAAATACGGTAATTTACCCCATCATTAGACTTGCCATATTTCTTGAAGACTGACAGTGACAAACCCACCCCATTCCAGGTGCTCACAAACTACAACGGAATAAAAACCTGCGCAGAAACTATGATATGAATGTACGGTTCATGTCGTCGAGTCGTTGTTACTGTTGTTCCTGATCGGTACTTGGGTCTTTTGATCCTGGAAGGTCAGGTTACATTCGGATTTCTTCTTAACCTAATGACAGTGCTGTGGCTTACGTACAACCGGACTCGTTCTCCATGGCCATGTCCTTAGGTTAATTTTTATGTATTTGAGCATTGCGAATTCTCCTAGTATGGTTGTGTGTCAAGTCCTTCACACGTGCGCAAATTTACACAGACAGCCTTCTAAGATGGTATTTGTACATAAATACCATATTTAAATTCAAAATTAGTTGACGATCTAATGTCGTAGGTTATCTAGCGATAAGTGGCCTCGTATGAAATCTAGGTACTTAGGCCTATCATCATCATGTACGATATACCTAGCAATGGAGATTAACAACTGATTTTGTGCAAGTTTATTTCAAAATATTTTGCAAAAACGTTAAGGAGTCTGAATGGTAAAGTCGGAATGTTTGCGAACATATGTAATAATAATTTTGACTTTGTGTTTCTGGTACCCGAAAAGCCATAGTCAGTACTGAGTTTTGAATGGTTTGTAGGTATCTCTTTACGTATGGGGCCCGGCATGGCCAGGTGGTTAGGGCGCTCTACTCGCAATCTGAGGATTGCGGGTTCGAATCCCCGTCACAACAATCATGCTCGTCCTTTCAGCTGTGGGGGCGTTATAAACTGACGGTCAATCCCACTATTCGTTGGTAAAAGAGTAGCCCAAGAGTTGGCGGTGGGCGTTGATGACTAGCTGCCTTTCCTTAAGTCTTACACTGGTAAATTGGGAACGGCTAGCTCAGATAGCCCTCGTGTAGCTTTGCGCGAAATTCAGAACAAACAAACAAACTTTACGTATGATGGTGCTGTATTTATCCATGCTGGACATACGTATTCTATTAGGGGTATGAAGGTTTTGTTTATTTTGAGGATAATTTATGCTAGGGTTCCTGTTTTTTTTACCAGTCAGACTTTTAATATAGTTGGCTGTATGCCACATTTTTAGATTTTATTGTCAGAACAAGTTTTGACCATGTTAGGTTTGAATCGTATATTATACCCAATAACTTAGCCGACTTGGCTACTTGTAGAAGAGTTCCATCTAAATGTAATTTGGGTGGTTGGTTACTAGTTTTTTGTAAAGAAGGCGTTTTGGGGATATTAATCCTGATACACCATTTATTACAGTATTTCACTACTATATCTAATACAGGTTATAGATTGGTTGCAGCTATAGAGGGGATAGAGGAACTCTTCCATCTTATCTACAAACTGAGAAGTGAAGCTAAAATTTGCATCCATTAGCAGCATATAACTAATGTACACGATGAATAAGTTAGGACTAACTACCCCTCCCTTAAGGACACCTGCCTCTGGAGTAAAATACTCAACATAAGCTCTAACTTTTCTGTTTTCTAGAAAGTTTGGATAACCAGTGAACAAAACCGCGTGGTGGTTCCGTCTCGGACATTCGGAACCTTAGATCGTTATGCCACACACTGTTGCCTGCATTCTCGATATCAAGAAAGCAGGCAACAGTGCATTCCTCTTCATCTAAAATATCTTCTACGGTTTCAGTAAGTCTAACTAAACGATCGGTAATCCGCCTGAATTTTCTGAAAATATTTTGAACTTCAGGTAATTTTGAGGATGTTTTGTGGACAGCCGGTTAGCTATTATTCATTTCGTAATGTTGCCTAAACAGCTGGTCAGAATGATTGGTCAGTAATGTTCAGGTTTATTCAAAAACAAACAGAGAGAGAGAGACTACCTTTATGTCTATAATATAGAAATATCCAGATTCTTTGAACCAATAGAATGTACGTTTCACCTTGGATGCATGTTTTCATACAAAAGGTTTCCATTGTTTTTCAATCAGTTTTTTTCCTTATAGAATGTTACTGTTTTAAAGCAAATTCGTAAAACTCATTTTCCATCCCCCATATGTTAGAACTCCTAATTTTCTGAACTGTTTCTGGAATAGGATCAATTTTGTTGTAGGTTTTTCCTCAAATGGAACTTCTCACCTTCTCTGAACTGTCGTGTGACACCAAGAAAATATCTTGGAAAAATAGCTTCCAACACGGCCACGAAATTTTCAAGTTCATCTGTTAAATCGACCAACAGGTTATGTTCCACCAGAGCCCATTCATTTCCTAGTCGCCACGTGAAAACCACAAAAGAAAGCAATCTGAAAGCACGTGTTTTCAGGATCTCTTCTCACACTCTTCAAATGTCATGTTGTCTCCCTTTCTCCTTCGAACTGCATGAGGCCAAAAAACAGTAATATGACACTATTCGATCTAAAGGTTTTCGTATTACATCGATAGAGATGAGTCTGTGTATGCATCCAAACCTTTGAAAGTTCAAAAACGCATCATGTCCATGGTCAAGTGCAGGTTTCTTGTCCTGCCAAGTTGTAACATTTTCTATGAACCTTCTGTGATCAGTCAGTGACCTCAAAAAATTGCTGTCAACAATGGTTATACAACAAAGTTAATTAACCCATTGTTCTTTAAAAAATTAAAAGTCAAACACTTTAAAAAATAAATATACCCACATTATGAACCAAACGACAGTAAAAACAAAAATAAATGGTTTAAGATAAGTTATATTGGAAAAACTTATCACAAAATATATAACACACTGAACAAAGAAATCTACAGACCTGCATATTACTGGACAAACAATCTAGACAAACAAAGACAAAGTCGAAAAGTACAGCAACAGTGGTGTTTACCTATTGACGTGTCAATACTGCAACAGTGTATATATATAGGTCAAAGAGAACGTTCCATAGAAACGAGAAATAAAGAACATTCTAGAAGGTGAAATTAAGAAGAATTGATTCAACCTTATTGAAACTAAACACC